TTTGTTATAAATAATTAAAAAAGGTAAGTATATCCAAAGTAGTAATTAATAAACCAAATAATTATTGTAAATAAAAACAAAAACAGTTCAATAAATAAGAGGTATGAAAAAACAACGCATACAAATAAAAATGAATAAATATGGGAGGGGAAACGTAAAGAAATAAAGTTTAATAGATATAAATTGTTTCTTAAAATTTATCAATGGTTTAGAACTACTCTTATACTTTTATATTTATCATTTTCTAATCCACATTTTCGGGTCGAAAGTTCGATTAACTCATTACAGAAAATTTGATTGCACAAAAGTTTTAGAATTTTCTGTATAGTGTAAAAGTTCTAGAAAGGTTTTTTATTTTATTTTTATAAGACGACCTTTTATTTTTAAATAAATAAATCTACCGATTTCGGACTTAATAATTTTGCAAGAGATTATAATGACTTTTTAGTCTAAGCAGATAACATGAGAAAAAAATACACAGCCGAAATTGTTCTAAAAATATCTCAACCTTCCTAAATACATTTTCTTTTATCTCACTTCGGTATAAAAAGACAACCTTTGTCTCAAAGAAACAAAGCTTGTAGACAGGAGCTTTAGAGAACTTAGAGCTAACCGGGGAAACAGCCCTGACCGCCGAGACCAAGAAATGGAGATAAAAGTTGAGGACAGGATGACAAAGAATCAGGAGGGAGAAGGGAGAGGATATTCGGAATCCTACCGAAGGAGAACAGAAGAGAAGGAAAATCCTGCAAGTATCTGCTTTGTGCCGGCACTTAGGACAATTTCCTGAGGCTCTTTCCCTATTCATCCCCAGCCTTCAGGATTACATTCCCTTCTTCTGCTCCAGGGGATCATCATTCACCCCATGGGAGTAACTGGAATAATCAACTCCTTCCCGCTTTTCATTTTTAAATGTTGCTTTTCTTATTGCACCAGCGTACCCACTTTGGCTCTTTAATTTTCTCACTTTAATCTAAAGCCTTTGAAGAATGAATGTGTCAAGTTTTATTAAACAATTTTTTATATATTTTAATTTTTTTTTATGCTTGAAGTGGCTGGATTCAACAATCGAGTTACTGTGAATATAAAATATACGTAAGTGAAAGTAAAAATATCTTTTCACTAGACTTTTTAGCAATACTTGTGGAACGAAAATTTTATTTAACTTAAATTAGAATAATCCGATAGAGCTAATTAAAAGTAAACAAAAAAAAGTAAGCAGTAAAGATCCGTCAGTTATTTTTATTTTTTTTTAATGTTGGTCTCCCTTCAAAACGAATTCATTTGCCTTTTACTAAAGATTTACATCACTAAGATTATATTTTCTCCTAATTTCCTTTCTTTTTACTTTCACTTACGTATATATGTAATATATAGTAAGTGTAAGTGTTGCCATCGTGAAAATTTTTGAATCCTAGTTTTCAACGGAAATACATGTTTTGAGGTCCCCTAAGTCCAAATAACCAAGTGTTGCAAAATGGTTTGAGTGTGTGTGTGTTAACAGTCTAGCTCATAAACGAAATGTAGAACGAAACTGACATTAAGTATTTAAGGTTTGTATATGGGCCGGATGTGACAGCTACTTTTTGGTTAAAATCGGCTAACCGGAACTTCCACTTTATAAGAACGCTGAAACACATTTTTACAATTTTTTTTTAAATATAGTGGTATATACGAGATGACAGATGAAAAGTGAAGTAACTGTTCAAAAAACATTATCATATATCCACTATACATTATCAAAATAAACATAGCTGCTTAATTCCTCTCTCATGTTTTGTTTGTGAACATTGTATAGATACATGACAATTTTTTTTTTTTTTAGGGCATTCTATGACACTGACAATGGCGATATTGAGGTAAGACTATTGTTGCTGCAACAATGAAAACTATTTTTTTAATTGAAAATTTAAGGTTTTATATCGCCCTTAATAACATTGAGCTAAATTAGATTTATTTAAAATTAAGCATATTTATCATTAAGGAAGTTGTTGCTGCTTTAGGTACTTTAAGTACGCAAATGTAAGCACGAACTTAATATTTAAATACTTAATACTTAAAGCAGTCGGCATTGACTCGAGCTCCCTTCATTCGAGCTGTTTAGTTAAGTCAGAACGTACGTCTATACATCCAGGTTCAACACCCATATCCATACCGACCTCGGTTCTACATTTCTTCTGCTGACTTTTCGACATTTCAGCCAATCACGCTGCAGAAAAATCATTTTCAAAAAATCATACAGCAAGACATAAACATTTTCTCTTTATCTTAAATTTCTTATTTCAGGTGAATATTTTCTTTCTTCTTTAGTTTATTGAATATTGAAAGACTTTTTTGTTTTGTACATTCAGAAATTAAAATTTTGTTTTGTTCATTATCAAAAGTAAGTCTTTATGTTATTTCTTGATTTTTTTTTTTTTTTATAGCTTTTAAATATTTCTTTACTTTTATATCACCAGAACCATTTTATTTTTATATATTGTTTTTTTATTTTATGCTGACTATTGAAGATTATTTTATTTCAACTCATACTTTTATTTTTTAAATATTTTCTATCACACAAATCTAATGCTAATCACATATCTCAACACGAGGAAGGTTTCTATTGAAACTCTCAGTTCAGGTAACAACTACATTCACACTATGAATACAGAAAATATAAATAAATAAATAAAGAGAAGCAAAATAGCAACCAAATAATAATCAAAAAGTATATAGAGTAAATATAAATAAAATAACCTAAAGATAAATACACTTTAAAATACTTACAGATATACCTATATACACTATGAAAAATTTAATTCATCAGAGCAGTGGGAGTAGACATAAAAAAAAAAAAAAAGAAAAAAGAAACTGCATCATAAACTTCCCTGAAACTACCACAATCCACATTTAAATGTTCTACCCACGAAACCAATTTAGAAAGACCGTTGAGTTGCACAGAACCAAAAAATTCGAACATTCCGTAATTAAAATGGAATTTATGACACCCTAAAACCTCTATGATTGGGCTATTAAATGGATTACAAATACACGTTTATTCCCAACTGATGCTCTTCCATGGGAAAAAAAAACCGACAAACATTAAAAACTATATTGGCTCCTTGAAGAGCTTTGGTCAATGCTTAAAATGTTATGATTTCTTCTAAATAATAAATAGTGTTTCAAAAGTTAAATTTAATAAATATTTTATCTACGAGTCGAACCGCAGCATGCATAAATATAAAGATAGTTTATATTAATTTTGCACAAGAGTTTACTGGCATAGAGAGCTGATAGAAAAAAATAAAATAAAAAGTTTAGATTATTAGTCAGATGCAACAATCTTATTGAAAGTTTTAAAAATATTTATGCACGATTTTTATAATTTGTTAGATTATATAACCATGAAACAGATTCAGAAAAAATAACTATAATATAATAAATAAATAACTATCCATTATAACAGTATAATAAAAATATTTCTAAAGACAGTGATTTTTTTTTATAATTATTTAAAACAGATGTATGAACAGTAATAATCATCTGCAGAATACTTGAAAAGGACAACGATTCTCACTCTTTGCAATAATACCTGATTAATCAAGCAAAAAGAAAAAACTCTTGTTACAAGTAATTAATTAAAATAAATGCGCATTATTTACTGTAGCAACTAAGTAAAAAGGATATGATACCAGACAAGGGGGTTATGCTGAAAATCATAGTGCTGGTAACCGGAAGGTTGGAGGTTGTGGTTCACTAATAAGCCCTCTTCTGTTTCAAATCACTGATCACTCAATGGCAGTTCACTTCTGTGTGGAAAAGCTTTTTTTCATATATATATATATATATATATATATATATATATATATATATATATATATATATATATATATATATATATATATATATATATAAAACTATAATTAATTCGAAAAAAAGAAGAAATTAACTACCTATATGAAATGGTGTTTAAGTGGTTCTTGAAGTCCTATTGAATTTAATTACGCGAACTAAAATACTTTTAGAGAGAGTTTTTAATACTTTTTTTCTGAAAAACATGGTTATATGATACCATTTAGAGGGGGAGGAGGAGGGGCTACAGCCCGTAAGCTTTCCCCCTGTAGATTATCCTGTGGTGTGGAATCGTCCATTAGTTCGATAGCTTGTAGTTCATAGTGATCATAAACGTCAATATAGGCCACATGATACTGAAGAGGTTCTTAAAGTGAGGTTCTAAATATAGGACGAGAGAAGATATAGACCAGACCATAGGTGGGGAACCCTTTTATCATTAGAGGCCCCAGTAAGATTATGCAGTGCTAATGGAAGCGATATATTTTTTTATATTTTACCGTTACTCTGTTTATTTACCATTAAATACACACACCCATATTTAACTTAATTCTATTAACTTCCAACTTTTCTTTTTTTTTTTTAAAGTTGTCCTCTCCTTCCTTATCTTTAAGGCTATAGGGGGTTTCCCGGGCCAGAGGATGAGGGCGGGGATTTAAAAGATCGTAAAGGACTCATGACTATTTTTATCCGGTTATCTATGCATCAGGTTGCCGGACAATGGCGGTGCTGTGCACACACGTTAGCCCATTCGGCCACCCCGGCCCTCAAAAAGAGAATAGTGGATCCGTACAGAACCAGGGACCTTCACCATATCAAGTTCGCATGCTAGACACTACACTATGAGTGCAATTTAACTTCCAAATGGTCGTTACTTAAATAATTAAATATTAATTAATTCTAACCACAGATTAATAAATATCGCACTAAAACGTTTGGTGGCCGCAGTTCTCCACCTATGATATAGACTGTGGAAGAACGTTTGTATTTACATCTCTGCAAGGAACAATGGAAGGTATTAGCAAAAGGCATGTGTCGACTATTATTGGTAGAATAACATGTAGCTGTAAATCGTGTCGTACTACGATAGAGCAGGCTTTCATAAGACCTAATAAACAATAGTCTTTAAAATCTATAATTATTCCAGAAGTAAATGTATGAAGTACCTGTAATTAGCCAGAGCTGGTTGAGACAGGACTCGGTGTAGCGGCGGACGGCGGCCGCGTAGGGCGGGGCCGGCGGTGGCGGGGGGCCAAGGGCCTGGAAGAGGAGCCCCCCGGCCCCCAGGTAGGCCGTCACCACCGCGACCACCAGCCACACTCGCTCGCAGCTCATCTCATCATCTCTACAACATGGCATAAGGTTAAAGTTAATAATAACATAACAAGGCATTAAAACTTTTGTTTATTTATTAATATTTACAACTGTATTATAAAAAAATACTACTGGTAAATGTGCACACAGTAATAATACAACCACATGAAAACGCTTGTTGAGAAACTACGCATTGGTAGCACTCTAATAATATATTTACATAAGTTGAACACGAGGGCATCTTCCTTTCAGACGCCTTGGAGGGTTATCAGGAGTTAACGAATCGGAGGCAGTGGAGACTTTATAAATAATGGCTTTATTCATAATGTTACAAATGACATCTAAAATACAGAATAATATACTATGGATATATGAGTTGACTACATCAGTTCACTCCAGGTCTCCTACAGTGAAGAGTATGACTCAAGAATGCAACTGTATGAGTGATTTGGTCTTAGAAGGATGGGGGTTATATGCTCAGGAATAGTAGGGTGGATGAATCAATTCTGGTCGGTCTAGGAAGCGTGTGAATGAAGTTATCAAGTATTAAGAATTGATATCCTTATCTTTTAGAATTGATATGAAGTCTGTGAGAAAGTGCTCTTTGCTGAAATCGGTTATTGTTCCCTAAGTCTTGATAAGTGTCTTCTGTCCAGTCAGTACATTCTAGATAACTATTTCTAAGCTATCAGAGATAGCTTGACCTGGCTATCTAGGGCTTTGATAAAGGTCATGAGAAAGGTCAATGAATGATTAAATGATTAAATTAAATAAAAGTTAATATTAATAGTTGTTACGGATTAAGTCCATTCCGTAACTAGGGATCGATGAGGAAGCAAGGTTTGAAACGATAGGGTTAGGATGGTTCTGCAGTTTGTTATCGAAGGATAGGTAGCTGGATTGGGTCAAATCGGAAACATATGGAACATTAAGGTCTTTATGGACGATTTTATTTGTGACAAAGTAAGGAGCGTTGAGGATTTTACGAAGGATTTTGGATTGTAACGATTGGATACGAGAGGAATTCGATGGTTTAGTGGAGCCCCAAAGCCCAATTCCGTAAGTCCAAATAGGTATTATTATTGTCATATATATGAGTCGTTTGTTATTGATTGGAAGCTTAGATCGTTTGTCTACTAAGTGTTGGAGTGATCGGAAACGTCGAGTGGTTTCTTGTCGTTTCAGTCTTGTATGAGGATTCCATGTGTGTCATTTGTCCAATTGGAGTCCTAGGTTTGTTCAACTGGAATAAGTGGGGAATTATTAAAGGATACTTTAGGATAGGAGGTCATGGGTTTGCGGCGCAGGGTAAAGGTAATTTGATGGGATTTACATTACACTTTAACATAATAGGATGTGAACTAAATACACAGGGTGAGCTAGGAGGATTGGGCCAAACTTCAGGAGTAGGTTGCATTCAGGAAAATTATTTTGAAAAAACTGACATGTACTCATCAGATTTTCATTTATTTCAATTTTAATTTTAAAAAAAGTTTTACAAACTAGCTGGCCCGTGCGAATAATTCGCATAAAATATGGATCAGTGAACAATTGATAAAAGAGTACTGAAATATGTTAATGAAATCTGGAGGAATAGATTTTCCGTTTCTTGGTTGAATTCATAATAACAAATCAAAAGTTTTACAGTTTACTGTTGTGTATATCTTTGCTCATAATGGTCTCATTCTGATATTTTTGTTTTGTTTTTTTCAATAATCAACCATTGTGATTGAAAAAATTCATAAACTAAACCCCTCTCAAAATTTGAGATTTCACGTTACAGGATGCGTAGAATTCGAAAAACGAATAAAAATGTTTTTTGCCGTCCGCCGTCCGCGCATTTTCTCCGAAACTACTGGACCGATTTTTTAAATTTGGATATAAAATCAGAGCTCACCCGAGGATGATCCTCCTTAATCGACTTTACTATCCGCCTTTTATTTTCAAAATGGCGGCGGAAAAACCTGCGTTGCTATAGACTGTAGCTTCTAAACGAATGTACCGATTTCAAAGAAACTTCGCTAAAGTCATTTTCTCGACGACCTTTAAATTTATCTATATAACATACTTCAACGAAAAGAAGCTGGAAAAAAAGTTACGAAGGGTGGTAAAATTAAATTCCGAATAACTCAAAAAGTTTACACTTTTTTGTAGATATTGTGATAATATTGATATTATCACAATAATATAGATATTGTTTCAAAGGTATTTAAATTTCCTAAAAAAATGAATAAATGAATAAATCGAAATCAAAGCACTATTAGTAGAGATATCGCGCTTTTTAAATATTTTTGGTATTTTATTTTCAGTAATCAACCATTTTGATCAACCAAAAAATTCAAAAACTTAACCCTTAATGGTTTTTTAAAATTTTCGTAAAAACAAAAAAAAAATCGTTAAAATCGGACAATTAGGGGAAAAGATGTGGTCTCCGGTTTTTGTTTATATGTTCTACTAAAAATGTTATATCCTTTATTTGGTTTTTAAATTTTGAATGTGTTACTGAAGTAATACTATTTTTTTTAGTATATTACTAATGATTATTATCTTTTCCTGTCATGGAGAAATTGTTACATAGTTGTGTTTTTTTTTAAAAAACAAATAACAATTTGATACCATCTTCGTGATATTTTTCAAAATTTCAGCAATATTATTTTACAGCTCCACTTCAGGCCGATGTTCTTTATAGGCATGACGCTCAGTCTAGCTGTGCATCACCGTGATATTTACCAAGCAGAAAAGAAACTCAGGACGCTCCCTTTGTCAATTAGGTGTTCATATGTTAGTCTTGAGTGTCCGATTTGTAGTCATGCTAGGCTGATCTCTTTTAGTGTGAATTCAAAATTTCGTGTGAATAGGTGGAAGCATATTGAATTTATCACACTTTTTGTGATTTTCGAGAAAAAAAAAATCAAAGGGGGTGCCTTAGGTAAAATTTATAGAATTTTTTTTTATTTTTCGTTCGCAAAGAAATTCCTATTGAAGGGTTTTTTGAGCTGCGAAGTACAAGTCTGTTTCTCCTTAAAAAAATATTTAAACACACTTTGTTCCTAGAGTCGGTTCAAATATTTCTAAATTGCGAATTTCTAATAGATTTTCTGGATTTCTTTTCTTCTTAAGAAAAAATGTATATTTTTTAAGTAATTCGCAAATAAATTTTCTTTTCATTCATAACTTTTTCTCCTAAAATCGGGCGGAACTTACTATTATTCGTCACTGTTCCATTTAATACCCTTTCGTTTGATACCTCATACATCGCTCCTGAGAACGGGAAAAGGGATCGTTACAGCAAAAAAACTGTCGTATTATATTATAAGATAGATAAACCGTCATACTCGTATTTAGGCTATTAAAGTCCTATTTTAATAAATTTTGGGAAATACTACCATTCATTGCTAAATATTTTTAGAGATATCTTCCAAGGGCAACAGTTGTCCTCTCCTGATTATTTCATGTCTATCTTTAATGGCTGTAGCGTTGTTAATTGGTTGAATTCGTGTATCCCGAATGTCTACTTTTAAATTGTATACTAAACCTTTGGAGCGGTCACATAAACAATAATTCAGTACAGTAAGGTCTAGATATCTTGGACTACAACTAATCTTGGAGGAACAACCCAACGATCTGCGAACGAAGAATAGCAGCTCAATTGGACATTCAACAAAAACTCAATTGGACAATAAACAAACTCCACGAACAGGGCTTGTATCCATACCATGTATAGAAAGCACTGACGGATCTACGGATCTTGGGGCAGAAGCTTCTTCCCCTCCTCTCCCTCCCCTCCCCGCCAAAAAAATGGTAAAATATAACTAGATTTAACAGAAAAAAAGTATTTCATAAAGCATTATAAAAAATATCTCCTTAAGTATTCTTGTTCGTGTAATTAAATTTAATAGGACTTTTTTCTTTTTTTTTTTTTTTTTTTTTTTTTTTTTTTTTTTTTTTTTTTTTTTTTTGTTCTTCCCTACCTCGCCTTTTAGGCTATACGGGATTTTCCCGGGCCGGGGAGTGAGGGCGGGGAATTTAAAATCCCCTCCGGCACCGGGACGCGAACTCGTACTTTTTAAATCATCTCAATTCTCTGTTATCCAGTTGCCAGCCAACTAGCGGTGCTGTGCACTCGCTTTAGCCTATTCGGCCACCCTGCCCCCCAAATTTAATAGGACTTAAAAAACCACTTATACACAGAGTTGGCCTGTTCCGTAAGAGTCACGGGCGGACCTACGGGAGGGCTTTCGGGCTGAAGCCTCCCCCCCCCCCCAAAATGGTAAAGTATAACCATGTTTTATCGAAAAAATATTTAAAAAGTATCTCTTAAAGTATTATTGTTCGTGTAATTACATTTAAAAGGGCTTTAGGAATCACTTAAACACCATTTCATACAGGCAGTTAGTTTCTTTCTTTTTTTCCAAGGTAATTACCGTTATTTTTATGAAAAAAAAAACTTTTTTTAGGCCCCCCCCAAAAAAAAATCGTGGATCCGCTAGTGGTACGAGTCATCCTTAAAAGTAGTTTTTAATCAAAAACATATTCCCTGTGGTTTAAAGATACGAGTAGAGACCGAATTTTCGTGCAGTAAAAACTGAAAATCGTGAAATAAAACCCAAAAATATTGAAAATTGTTAATTAAAACCCTATAAACCTGTAAAAATTATCTATTTCGTATGATATATTATATTAATTAGAGACGAGATTTCGAGGCTCATATTTTGATGTAATAATAAAATAGATTAAAGCACATAAATAATTTTTGCACATTTTTAGGTGTAAATTAGGCAATTTTAAATATGTTTGACTACACGATTTTGCTCTTATTGAGTTTTTAAAGCACGTATTTTCGGTCACCTTCCAGCACGTGCTAAAATTTTATGAAAATAAATACATAGCTAAAAGTTTTTATTATGTAGGTCATGTATGAGAGGGAAAAGTTATAATTTAATAGGAGAAAAGGTACCGAAAATTTAGTTCTTCTTAAAAATTGAACCCTATCTTACAAGAAATTCATAGTAAATTCGGAA